TCCTCCAACCCCCCCCCGCCCCCCCGGCAAATCTTCCGGGGCAGGAAAATGTATCCGTCTCGGGGAAGAGGTGGAGGGAGTTGACGTGCGCACATTGTACGCATTGGCCGTCTGATGTTGCAAGGTGAGCGTTGGCTCGGCTCCTCTTGCTGGAGGAGCAACTCTCAGATCTGCCTATCGAGCTGCTTGGATGAGCGTTGTTTATGGGGCGGGGGGTGGGCAACGTTTGGCCCTCCAGCTGGGGTGAAACTACAAGTCCCATGAGGTATTGCAAGACTCTGAAAGGCGCGGGCATGACTCCCGGAGCCGGATGTATGATGGGGTGCGTAGTTTCACCACAGCTGGAGGGCTTACCTCTAGTAGAGGTTTTTTTTGGGGCTGCACTGGGAGTCCCCGGGTTCGAAACCCGATCAAGACACTATCTGCATGGAGTTTGCATGTGGTCATTGTGGTTCCCTGGATTTCCTCAAGGTACTCCGAGTTCCTTGGGGATCTCCAGCTTCCTCCGGGTACTCCGGTTTCCTCAGGGAATGCTGCTTTCCTCGGAGTACTCCGGTTTCCCCCATTCCACTCCACTCTACTCCACTCCACCATACCCCACTCCACCCTACCCTACTCCACTCCACCCTACTCCACTCCACCATACTCCACTCCACCCTACACTACTCCACCCTACCCCACTCCACCCTACCCCACTCCACTCTACCCTACTCCACCCTACCCTACTCCACTCCACCCTACCCCACTCCACCCTACCCCACTCCACCCTACCCCACTCCACTCTACCCTACTCCACCCTACCCCACTCCACTCTCCTCCACTCCACCCTACCCCACTCTACTCTACTCCACTCCACTCTACTCCACTTCGCTCTACTCCACTCCACCCTACCCCACTCTACTCCACTCCACCCTACCCCACTCTACTCTACTCCACTCCACCCTACTCCACTCTACTCCACTCCACACTACTCCACTCTACTCCACTCCACCCTACTCTACTCAACTCCACTCTACTCTACTCTACTCTACTCCACCCTACCCTACTCCACTCTACTCCACTCTACTCTCCTCCACTCCACCCTACCCTACTCTACTCTACTCCACTCCACTCTACTCCACTTCACTCTACTCCACTCCACCCTACCCCACTCTACTCTACTCCACTCCACTCTACTCTACTCCACTCTACTCCACTTAACTCTACTCAACTCCACCCTACCCCACTCTACTCCACTCCACTCCACTCTACTCTACTCCACTCCACTCTACTCTACTCCACTCCACCCTACCCCACTCCACTCTACTCTACTCCACTCCACTCTACTCTACCCTACCCCACTCCACTCTACTCTACTCCACTCCACTCTACTCTACTCCACTCCACCCTGCCCTACTCCACCCTACCCCACTCCACTCTACTCTACTCCACTCTACTCTACTCTACTCCACTCCACTCTACTCTACTCTACTCCACCCTACCCTACTCCACTCCACCCTGCCCTACTCCACCCTACCCTACTCCACTCCACCCTGCCCTACTCCACCCTACTCTACTTTTCTCTACTCTACTCCAGTCCACCCAACCCTACGCTACTCCACTCCACCCTACTCTACTCCACTCTTCCTAACTCTACTTCACTCTTCTTCACTCTACTTTACTCTACTTTGAATAGGAAGCTGGTACAACGCTATTAAATCATCTCAAATGCGTCTGCTGATGGGCCAAACATATCATAATTGGTAGAAGATCCTGTAAGAGAAAAGTGTTTTTCCTCTGTGCGCCTTTCTTTGTACCCAGACACGCCGCTATCTCTTCCAGCCGTCACTTTCCTCCGTGTGACTTGACGTATGCGGCGGGAAGGTAACAATAAAGTGACGTAACACCAGATGTTGGGAAGATTCGGTTTATCCTCTGTGAGGGTTTCGTCTATTGGCGGGATATTGTTGTCCCGGCACACGTGGTGTCCGATCGGCGATCGCCGCGGAATAGAAATCATTATTACGACTTTTATTTCTATTTATTTTAAAGGTTTCTAGTTGTCTATTGTGTCTCGTGTTCATTGTCACAATGTTTCCAGAGCTCATTGTTTCACTTTTATGAGTAGAAAGCCATTGTGTATTGTTTTTTCTTTTATGTCTTCGTCTGCGTATGAACAGTGACAGGTCTAAGGAAGATTTACGCGGTTATGCCGCAGGAAATCACGCGGTTATGCCGCAGGAAATCTGTGTGCCGTGCAAAGACTTAAATGTGAACGAGGGAGCTGCTGATGATGACGGCAACAGCGATTTTTCAGAGACATTATCCATCTCGCGTAAAATTTCACTGAAAAAAAAAAAATT